AGCCGAAAGCGTGTAGATCACCATCTGGTGGCTGACTGAAGTATTGCTCATAAACTCTGCCCCCTCCATGTTAATGGCTGGGAGATGCATGATAATGTTATTGAATCTGACTCGTGGTGCGAGTCATCTACCTGTGACAACACTGTCAAACACACAGTGGAGCAGAAACAAACTCAGACGCTCTGAACAAATGATTCACATCTCGTTCTCCGTCAGCGGCCAAACTGCAGCAGCGTTAATAGAACCAGTGCATCACAACTATTCCAGTATTTATACGACACCGTCCAAGTTTGCTATGTGAGGCTGTAGACACAATGGTTTAGAGTTCACTCAGATTCAGACTAAACTTCCTCCGGCTCAGTGCAACAGTTTCAGTATTTATAAGAAGCAGTTTGAGTCTGTGTGTATCACACATGGAAATCTACCGACTTCTGACACTTGCTCCGCATGTAAACTTCTGTTTTTATTTGAATGTCTGCTCTTCCCATAAACAACCAGCTTGTGTTTAAAACCAAAGTGTTTGTGTGTAATTGTTATATTCACACAGTTATATTTAAGTTAGCCTGGAGCTTTTCACCCAAGTTAAAACACTATGGAACAATGTGTTTTTTTTTGTTATTGCAGTATTTTGCTTTCCTAATCCCCCCCCCCCCACAAAATAGCTCGTATTCATCGATGATATTTTCACGAAAGCCATACACACCTGGAAGATTCAGTGTGTAGGATTTAGTGGCATCTAGTGGTGAAGTCGTATCATAACCAACTGAAGACCCATGGCTTCGCCCTCATGTAACGCCCCGCCCTCTGCTCTCATGAAAACACAGTCAGCTCTGTTTCTGTGTAAAGAGGCCACCAACCTCACTGACCTGGACCAGCAGAAGACAAAATGCTAAACTTAATATTTAAACTTAACACACACATTACACTGCTAATGCTTTAGATTGTGCAGGTTTTTGGATAAAAAATATATATGATGTATATATTATATAGGATGGAGAGAATCAGACATGCTCTTGAAAAGATGGTTAATGTTGGATTGAGGTTATTATATCTTTACAACTGTCTTTTAAATAATGCAATGATTTTATTGCTATATACATTTTCTCTTTGTTACGTGATTTGTTTAATAAGAAGACAGACACTCGTCTGTTCTTCTATCTGGTAAGTTAGGTTTTCTATTTTGCATATTTGTTTTTTTCATTTTTTGTATCAATGAATTATTTATTTTATTGGTCCTTGTGCATATTGTACTTTGATTTGTCTGTTTGATTTATGTTCAGACAAACAACTCGACTGACTGAAAATGATCTGGCTCATCTGCCAGGAGATTGTAGACGCAGACCTGAGATGGTTGATTACTGAGAAAGTGTGGGAGGGAAATGAAGAAGTAAACTGTGTGAACGTGTGGAAGCACCAGGGCAACTCAGAGTAAACAGCAAGAAGCAGTAGTTTAGGTGTTGACAGTTTTATTCAGTGCATAGAGTTTAATAGCAGGAGTCAGTGATGCGCTTCATGCTCATGAGCCTCATTCCGCTCATGCCGATGCTCATGAAGTTCCTGTACTCTCCGGGCTTCATGTACATCATCCTGCCTCTGTAGTTGGGCTGCTCGTACATCAGCCAGTGGCCCTCCATCACGTTGCAGGACATGCAGTTGGACATGCGGAACCTTTCCATGATGTTCTCACAGTCGTCCATCAGCTCGTGCATCTGGCCGCCGAAGTTCTCCCTCTCGTAGATCTTCATCCTGTAGGAACCTCTGTGCTGTGGTGCAGAAGAGGAGCTTTATCTTCAAGCTTTTGTACGACTTATTATCAATTGGATTTCAAGCGAATTAGAGATATTAGCTACAGGGAATCGAGCCAGGTGTGACATCTTACCATGGGGATCATGCGGCAGGACTTAATGCAGTCGCCGCTGGTGCCCATCATGCTCATGTAGTCGGAGTAGTCGCCCCTCCTCAGGAAGTGCTGGTTGCCCATGTAGTTGGTGCGGTCGTACACCATGAAACAGCCTCTCTCCACCCTGCAGGACTGACACCTGCTCAGGAAGGAGGACATGTCGGGGCAGTCGCTCATGCACTCGTAGGTGCGACCCTGGAAGTTCCTGTCCTCGTAGAAGATGATCTGAAGGGATAGAGGGAAAGGATTTGGTTTGGAGAAAAAAAATCTTAAAAGATCTTTACCTGAACCGATAGATCCAATAACTGACATGTTAGCAAACCTGTTAGCAAACAGTTGCCTATTTTAAAACCCAGTAAATATGGAGTGACATGAGTTGTGCTTCAGGCCCCATAAGTCAATCCTTCACTTTGCTTTTTGCCCCGTTTTGTTCTCCACCACCAACTTTTAAATTAAATGTCTTTTTCTTTTTTTTTTTTGCATTAAATGCTCCCATGTGTTTGTTGGCTAAATTATAACTTTGTCAACTGTTTGTAGCTCGGCAGTTGAAATACACTCTAAAACTGAAAGTAACAGCACAGAACATTATAAGTCAAAAGCCTGTGTTCGTCAATATGAAAAAAAACAAACGTACCCTGCTCATCATGTTCATTCCGGTGGAGGTCATTTTGCTGGTCAGTGGGCTTCTGCTGTGGCTGGAGCTGCTGCTGTTCTTGCTCTTGCACTGAACTGTACCCTGCCTGGTTTAACCCTTTTCTTTTATACCTCCCGCCGTAGACTGGCCCTTTGTGTAAACCCCCTGAGCCAGCAACGACGCCATAGAAATGCACAGAATATGGAGGGATTGTCCCCCATTCCCAGGGGGCATTTCTCGTACAACACATGGGGGGGGTCACAGAATGGGATGAAGGGTTAACAATCGGAGGTCTCACCTTGACATTGCTCTGTCATTGTCACATAAAGAGTTTTGTCAGCAGCAACATTTTTTCCAGCTGTATGTTTTTTTTTCCTCTGTTGATTCATTTGTGATGATACATTTCTGAATGTTAAACATCCTAAAAGGAGTTTTATATAATAAACAGCAAAAACCTCCCTTGAGGTATATAGTTATTAGTGCACAGAGAAATATTGGGTGTGTGATTATAGGGTGGATCTTATTAAACACAAAACACAATGATACAACATAAACTGAATTCAGTAACAAGGTGATATTCACATAAGCAAAAATAAATATATTCACCATGAAGGGCAGATGTTAGTAACATGAAATAAAGTTTTATTATGCTGCTTATATCCCTTCATATAACTTATCTTTAGAAATAATTGTATTTATTAATTGCAGAATTATCATCTTATGATACCACATATGGATTTTTTATACACTTGAATCAATTTGGTTGTCTTTTATTTTGAAATACATTTAAATTAAATACAGTAATCCCCTTATCAGTGCATTGAGGTCAGAGTTAGGAGATTTCCCAGCCAGGTTTTTATATCTGAGCCAAACATCTCTACAACAGCTGAACACGTCAGGTTTTCACTTCTATCATCCAAGATCAGAAATCCGAGGCTGCAGTGGACACAGGCTCAACGACCCTGGACAAATACAGCCTGGTCTGAGGAATCATGATTTCTGCCGAGGCTGCAGATGGTAAGATTAGACTTTAGCATCATAACCTAACGTGTCTGTGTCACCTCTTCAAGCTGCTGCTGCTGCTGCTGTAACATGTGGAGGATGTTTTCTTGCACATTTTGGGCCTCACTCATCTTTTTTTAAATGCCACAGGATAGTTCACAGAAAAATGAAAACTCATGATCTCCTGCCCACTACGCCGATGGAGGGGTGTGTGACGTGTTTGAGTTTAAGTTAAAAACATGGTGTAAATGATGAATTTGAATGTCGGGGCTTGGATGACACCACAGCAGAGTGGAGGCTTGTTAACAATAATAATTAATAGTCTTTACACCGTTGTTCACATTTTAACTAGTAAGATCTTATGGCGCTCAAGTGTTCCAGGTCTTTCTCGCCCCCCCCTCCCCTATTTCCCCCTCCCCACTATCCCTCTCTCTTCTCTCCCCTCTTTTCCACCCATCTCTCCTCTCCTCCCCCCTTTTTCTTTGCTCACCCCAACCGGTCGAGGCACATGACCGTCCACACTGAACCTGGTTCTCCTGGAGGTTTCTCTCAGTTAATGAGGGAGTTTTCCCTCCACAGTCACTGAAGTGCTGCTCATTGTGGGAACTGTTGGGTTTCTCTATATTTAATACGATTTTAAGGTCTTGACCTTCTATGTAAAGTGCCTTGAGATGATGTATATTATGATTTGGCGCTATACAAATAAAATTGAATTGAAGTGAATTGTTATTTCTTTCTGTTTTTTCTTATGTATGAAGAAGTTGTCACCATTTACTTCAATTGTATTTGATTTGGCTAGAACGCTGTTTAAACCTGAAACTCCAGAAGTTCACCCTCCCTTCCATCGGCATATTGGTGAGCAGATAATGGTCCCCTCAATGTAAATATAGAGTATTTGAATATAAACAAACTAGTGAAAACACCATGAGGATTATTCTACATTAAATTTTTGCCGATAGTTCCCTTTCACCTGAATCTTACACACTGGACCTTTAACCCTCCTGTGGTCCCCCTGGGTCAAACTGACTCTGTTTTGACTTGTCCTTTCCTCCTTTTCTTCTCTCCCTCCATCCACCCTCCTTTCCTTCCTTTCGTTCTCCCTTCTTCCCCTCCTTTCCTTTCTTTGACCCTCTATTTCTCCATCCTTCATTCCTTTCTCCCTCCGTTCTTACAACCATCCTTTTCACTTCCTCCACCTTTCTTTCCCTCGATCCTTCCTTCTTCCTTCCCTGCACCAATCTGTTATCCTTATCCAATCTTCTTTCCTTCCTTCCTTCCTGTCTCCCCCCCTTCTTTCCACCATCCCTTTTCCGATCCTTTCTTTCTTTATTTCTTCCCCCATCATTCTTTCTTCTTTCCCTTGACCCAGGAGGACAACAGGAGGGTTAAGTCGAAGAAGAAGAAGAGCAGTTGCCTGCAGTTTCCTCTTCACCGCACACGGTGGCGCTGTGACACCGGACGCAGCCTCGGCTGTGTGACCGTCTCCTCTTGGTTACTGAATCTTTGTTGTCAAACGTTGCTAAGGAAGTCAGCGCCGCTTCTGCTAAACTCGCCTCTTCGACACCAGACAGCGGGAACACGAGGCAGCTTCACTTCGGTGCGTGAACAACAACACGACCCGGAGACCGCGACGTCGACCGTGGATCAACACAACCGTACAAACCTCCGTTAGCTCAGCTAGCTAGCTAGCTAGCTAGCTGCTGCACCGCTGCTGCTCTGCTAACGCTTCTTATAGCTTTGCCAAGTGGTCGCGTTGCGGCTCGCCGAATTAAAGCGGATTAAATGAAGCTGGTGTCTGAATGTGACTCGTTGGATGAACGACGGCGAGTTCAGCACGAATCACTGCGTCTCTGTGTGGAGCTGTGTAGTTGGACGAGGGTTAGCGTTAGCTAGCTGCCACTGCTATCGATCAATCACTGCTAACTAACTAATGCTAGTGGTTGGAGGTCAGTGCAGTGTCTCTATAATGCTCCATGCTGATGAATAAAATGAAGAATAACGTCAAGAATGAACTTCAGATTTGTTGCATCTGAATTCAGGGGAACTTGACTAAAGAATCTTTTATTTGAAACTGGGGGTTTAAAAAGCTTGTAACATTTCCCCTCTTCATTTATTTATTTATTCTGCTTCTGTGGATGTCTAGAAATCTAATTCTTATTTTATTGTGTTTTAAACCGTGTTAAGCTTCTCTGAGTGAATTTAGTCCACATTAGACACGTGGAGGTGTGGTGTCCTGGATGAGGGACAACAAAGCAGTGACATTGATTTTTGGTTCTTTCTTTTCTTTTTGTTTGTTTTTTAATAGATTTCCCACAAATCTGAAGCCGTGATTTTAACTGTCTGTACGTTCTCCCTGTTAATCTAGTCCAGATCTGAAGTGACACTACAGTGGTTGTGCTTCAATCTGCACTGAAACTTGCATAATGTAAATTACTGTACAACTAATGAATCACTTGCTAGTCTTTGATTTGACACATTTTTATTTTAAGTTAAGGTTCTCCTGAGCTGTGTGTGAAATGAAAATGGCTTCTACTGTGTTTAAATTCTGCTAACATCAAACCAGCTGATGAATATTTGGCTTAATACGTTTATTACAACATTTTTCTGAATCCCTTTCTGCTTTATATCTGCAGGTGTGTGTCACTCAAGCAATGAGAGAGGTTTCACCATCTGACCACAGCGGGTCTGCGACATGACGAGAGGATGACTGAGAATGGCGAGGACGGCGGCGTCCATCTGCAAAGTGAAGCTCCCGACAAAAAGGATTCAGTTGTCAATGACAGCAGGCCACTCAAAGGCCCCTTAGTGGATGTCAAGCAACAAAATGATGCCCTTAAACTCACTGCTAGAAACAAAGAGGGAGAGCTCATTCCATACCAGCCTCGGCCGCCCTTACTACCCAAGCAGACAAAGTCAAAGAGGAGCGGCTCCGTCGAGGAGACAGTGAGAAACAGGAGGCTGAGAAACAGCCAGGAGAGCCTGAGTGACCCGGCTGAGACTGGCTCCTCCACAGACTCCCTGAAAGAGGACCAAGCAGGACCAAATCCAGGTGGGTTCATCGTCAGTAACGCTGCAGCCGTCAGGAACCAGGACTCCAGTGCGAGACCCCTGTCTGCCACTTCTACAGGATCCCCAGTCTTCCGAGAGCGAGGGAGTAGTCTCTCAGATTATGAGAGGAGGCCTCACAGCCAGCAGAGCGACCCCACGGACCAGCAGGCGCGGTCCACCAAGGTGCGCCTGTCCCCGGTGCAACCCACGGGGCGGCTGCCCGCTCTGGAGAAGAGCTTTGTGTCAGCCACTTTAAGGGCCGCTAATAGGATTGACAGGGATTGTTTGGATTATGCCGTGCTGGCCAGAGAGAAGCTTGGGGAGAGACTCCACAGGAACCTGAGCGACAGCCGGCTTCTGGAGAACATGGGGTCGGATAGTGCCTCTGTCAACTCCATGAGGTCCACGTACAGCGTGCTCAGCCCCATCAGACCTCAGGATGTCAGGAACAGGTACAGTAGCAGAACGCAGAGAGGATTTTGTTGGAGTCCTCTTCAGGCCGGATGTGCCGGGTTTTTTTCTACAGCTTATTCTTTCTGATGTCAGAGCATTTTTAGAAACCGGTTTCTGCCGAGGTTCCTAAGCTTCTAATTTAGACGTAGGGTAGTGAAACCATGAGCTTTGTATAATCAATGCAGATTTGCACACTTCAGTTAACTTTGTCTACAGTTTGTCAGTGAGCTCTGACTTTAATATCATTCTCATCAAAGGAGAGTTACGATGCACACACACTTGTTTACAATTAAGACACAGTCTCTTATATCCGCTGTGAGATTTTATAGATTCAGGAGTCCCCTCTGCTTGGACGGTTTGACTAAGCACAGCACATCTTTCCTGATGGTGAGCTCTAGGACCGGGTGTTGTAGCGACACCAACAGACTGTTAATTTCTTTCCGCGTGTGTGCAGTGCTCACATCTTTTAGAGAAAAGGGGAACGTGAACGTGAGGAGGGAGATTAACACAGGATCAGAAGAGATGCATGTTCAGCACAGTTTTTGACAGGAGGAGGAGTCTTGATCCATTGTCTTGCTACACATTCAGAGCCCAGAGGGGAAAAGTTTGTTTTTATACCATTGATATAAAATCAGAAACCACAGTCTTCACTTCTCTTATATTGTATATTAAGAGTTACTTGTTATCAGTTAAACCCAAACGTGCTGCAACTCAGTTTTGCTTCTCATAAAAGTGCTAACTGTCCTTTCCAACTTGTATTTTCTAGAAGTTTCCTGGAGGGCAGCGTGCTGGGAAGCGGTGCGTTGCTCGGGGCTGAGGAGCTGGACCGCTACTTCCCTGAAAGGAGAGTGGGCGTTTACGTCGCCACGTGGAACATGCAGGGAGAGAGGGTGCGAGGAGACCGTGGCTCTGAAGCGTCTCACAGACCAAGAAACATGCAAAGTGTTCGCGCTTCCTGCACCAACTGAGATGTAACTGAGTTTCTGTCACTTCCAGGGGCTTCCAGTCAACTTAGATGATCTCCTCCTTCCAACAGACTCTGAATTTGCACAAGACTTTTATATTATCGGGGTTCAGGAGGGCTGTCCCGACAGGTATGATACGCTTTGTTGGTGCATTATGTCATGATTGATTATTCTATCAGGGATGTAAACATAGCTCAACACTTGGTGTGTGACTGTGTGTGCAGGAGGGAGTGGGAGACTCGACTTCAGGAGACCCTGGGACCTTACTACGTCATGCTGTATGCAGCGTCACATGGCGTTTTGTATCTCACTGTATTCGTCAGAAGAGACCTCATCTGGTTCTGCTCTGGTCAGTGCTCCTTCACGTAAAACAGGAAATAAACGTCAGCTTCGGGTGATTCATCTCAGCTAGAGCTGAAACAGTTTATCAATAAGTTGATCTACAGAAATATTTGGCAACTATTATGGTAGTAATTCATTTAAAAGAATATTTATTTTGGGTATTCGCTGATTTTGTTTCATATGTGATTGTAAACAGAATATTTTCACAAGTTTCACATTAAATCCACAGATAAATTCAGACATCAGATCATCATCATCATTGTTATTGGGTGGAAAAGGATTTTAATATGATGACATATTCCTTCTCAGGTTTTTGTGTTTAAATCCATCTGGTTTGTCACTAACCTTCATTCTGTTGACTGACGCAGAAGTGGAACACGCCACAGTCACAACCAGGATCATCTCTCAGATCAAGACAAAAGGGGCTGTGGGGATTGCCTTTACTTTTTTTGGAACTTCCTTCCTCTTCATCACATCCCATTTTACCTGTGAGTAAAAACGTTCTCAGGTCAGTGAGGCTGTAGACTGAAGCAGAGCCTAGTGTCGGCGTGACTGTAGAGGGGACATTTCTACTGAAGTGAAGGAGGGGTGTGGCGGTTCCAGAGTGTTTCCAATTAATCCTTCTGTTCCTCTTTCAGCTGGAGACGCCAAAGTTTACGAGAGAATCCTCGATTACAACAAGATCATCGAGGCTCTAGCTCTTCCAAAAGGCCTTCCAGACACAAACCCTTACCGCTCCACGCCGTGTAAGACTCATTTAAGTTCCCCCCGTCATGAAGGATGTGAAGAATCAAAGTGTAACATGATGACTTCAACAGCTGCTGTAGTAAACTTAAACAATATTATAAGACTACGATTGGTTGTAACTGTTGAACATTTTGAGATGCAGTATTTTTGCAGTGTTCAGGTGAACTCACCTTCTGTAATGGATGTCATTTTTAATTTTAGCTGACGTCACCACAAGATTCGACCAGGTCTTCTGGTTTGGAGACTTTAACTTCCGGCTGTGTAAGGACCGTGGTGAAGTGGAGACCATCATGAACCGCACCACAGGAGGCGACATGGGCCCCCTGCTGGAGCACGATCAGCTCTCTAAGGAGATGAAGGAGGGTATGCATGAATCATGGAGGGTTGAATTTCTGTGAAAAGCTTTGTCCTAAATAGTCTTAGTTGTATTTGATCGTCACCCTGAGAGTATGATTCTGTTTCTCCAGGTTCTATCTTTAAAGGCTTTCAAGAGGCACAAATACACTTTCCCCCAACGTACAAATTTGACGTCGGCTGCGACGTCTACGACACAACTTCTAAACAGAGAACGCCTTCATTCACAGTAAGAATAAAAAAGAAAATCTCCCTGCTCCTTTGATTTAGTCACAAAATCTCCAGAATGAGTCAAACCGTCACTGGAGAGTAATTTCTATCACTCAGTGTTCAGCAGCTGAATCTGGAATCCAAGCAGGGTTTAAGTTTTCTGTTGTTTGTGTTCACAGGACAGGATCCTGTTCAGGAACAGACAGGCCGACGACATTAAGGTGGTCAAGTACAGCAACTGCTCCAGCATCAAGACCTCAGACCATCGACCCGTCATCGGTGTCTTCCAGGTCAAACTAAGACCAGGCAGAGACAAGTGAGTCACAAACTGTGTTAGTGGCTTCACTGCCTTCGCCTTTTTTACAGGATCACCTTCTGCCCCTCAAACCTGGTTCATGAAAACATTGTATTTCCTTCATTCTGACCTCATAATATCTGCTTACCTCTGTTTACCTCTGTTTGTCAGTATTCCCCTGGGAGCGGGACAGTTCGACCGAGGCTTGTACTTGGAGGGCATTCGGAGGAGGATCAACAGAGAGCTGAAGAGGAGGGAAGCCATGAAGAACCAAGGTAGCAGCACCATCTGCTCCATCTCTTAGACCTTTAAAGTGGATTCTCTGGACCAGACCAGACCAGATCCAACTGTTCCATAAACAGGTGGTAAAGGACCAAAAAGAAACCAGAGTTGTCTTGAAGTCCTGCTCCGGTGAAAATCATGTTTTCATGACCCCTTTGTGCCTTTTTATTGGACAGAAGACAAATGAACCTCTGTGACACCACAGTGAACAAATGCAAGTCTGAAAACAACGGATCATCAAATCAAATCATATTTTAATTGTATATCCCAAATTCACAAAACACATCTTGCCTCAGAGGGCCTTACATCTGTACAGGCAGTGACACCCTCATGGAGGTTTTGACACGTCACAAACCTAAGAAACCCTTCCTGTCAACTTGTAGCTGGAGAGGGCTCAACTACAGGTGAGCTGAGGAGGTGAGGAGACGGGGAGCAGGAGGCCACGTCATCGTCACCTTCACAGATCCTACTCACGAAACAAGAGAGGAAGGTGTAGAGTTGTATTCGACTCATTTTAAGGCATTTCTCACATTAAACCTTTTGAATATTTCATTTTGGGGAACAGAGTTGATTTGATTTGGGAGGGAATAAGCTCCCGGAGTGGGACTTTAACTACATAGAACCAAGTGGCGGTTGTGGTAACTGAGCAGACTGCGCCCTCTGTTGGGCATTCAGGAGAACTTCTTGTGAGTGAGTGTGTGCTGCTGGTCTAAGGGAATGTCTGGCTGTCCTTGAGGGCAGGGACCGTGAGGTCAGTCAGGCAGGCAGATGTTTGCGGACACAGCAGCAGTCTGGCTTTTATTTATCCGTCGCTCTACTCTTCAGTCTTCAGTCACACGCTGCAGTGTGAGCTGACGTAACTGCATTTCATTTTCTAATTATTTTTATATGTATTTAAAAAGCATCATGAAACGCAGTGTTAACGTTTTTGTCTGAATTTGACATTGTTGTTGAAATGCCTCGCGACTTAGGGAATCACACAAAAGTACAGTGAACATTCAGGTGCACCTCGAATCACACCGGTGGACTTTCTCTTTTAAAGTTGAGATACAGTCTGATTGAATAAGGGAGCTGTTCCATTATTTCCCTCATCAAGTCAAATGGCACAAAATCAGCGAGCACTCAAGTGATGACGTCGTTACATGGTACTGTTGAATTTCAGGACGATAAAGTGTATTTGATGTTTTATTTTTAAGGAACTCACTTCCTGTCAAATAGACGGAGGATTTTATTTAATTAACGTTATTGCCGGGAACACATTTTTCTCTTATCAGGCCAAGTGATCCTTTACAGCAGATTCTAACTCATTGCCTTAACCTCTCATCAGCCTGCTGTGTAACCTCATATCTACTGTAACCTCTCCATGTACTGTATGTTACATTAATGAACTTGTTTCCATCATTCAGAGCAGTCTGCTCCACGAAAAGTGCCTGTAGGTCTTGTTTTCATTTCCTCAGGACCTCTGTCTTTTTCTATGTTCACCTGTGATGTCACAGCGTTAATAAACATTTTAAAACAGATTTGTTTGTCGGCTTAATCGTCGTAAATCACACTGCAACGCTGGAGCTTTGAAAATATATTATTTTTCATAGAGAAAATAATATATTTGGTTTACAGAGGTCACATCTAACATATCAGCTTTGGTGAGAAGCCACTGAAATAAAAGTGAAATACATGTCGGTGTATTCGGAAACAAACCAAAACAATAAAACATTTTAAATGTTGAAGCAGTGGAGACGTCTCAGAAAGTAAACCACCCACTCCTGTCCAAAATAATTTACTGTCAAACGATGCCTTTGTTTTATGCCCGTTAAGTTTATTGAAATCTACACGGACACTAACAAAACCAGAAACATAAAAAACAGAAGGTTTCACTGTAGATTTCAGTCTCTCTACAGAGCGTCTGAGACAAACGTGACAGAAACCATGACCTCAGTCCACAGATGTACAGTTGGCCAGCAATGTCTTTATCACAAGTATCTTGATTAACCATTGCATTGCGTCTCCTGAGCCTGTAAAGAGAGATTGTGAAGTGCTTTTGTATAAATAGTGAGTTTTTTCAGTTTCTTTAATACCTGCTCGAAAAATAAAAAGGTCTGAAAAGAATTTTAAGAGCGGAACGTCCGAAAACTGAAAAATCCAATGGCTCAATAAAAAGTAACAGCATAGACAGTTTTGCGGATGTTACCCACCCTCCTTTCTCTCGTCTCGCTGCTGATTTCTCTGTAAAAACTAAACATCTATACTGAGGGTTTTTTTTAAACAGGAAATGAATACTCAACTTTGCCCGTGGGGGGCAGGGCATTGTCCCTTTAAAACCCAACTCCTGCAAACCCTCAGTAAATATTGACGCGTGGCTTCATGCCCACCAAACAATAAATACATACACTCCAACCGTATGTAGACTACATCTGAGTAAAATGTACCTTCTCTTTAAAATCCAGTCAAAGGTTCACTTGAGAGCCCCGAGGATTAGCCCCCCCCTCCCTGGGTGAGCTGTGCAGAGCTCTGTGTTAGGAGGGAACACTCGCTTGATCTTCCAGTTCAGTTTATTTACAGGGATGTTTGCCAGTTCACACGGGCTGCGTGGTGGTGGTGGTGGTGGTGGGAGGTGAGTCTATCGGAAGAGACGATACATGCGGGGCAGACGTCCGTCTTTGCTGGACAGGGCGGCCTGGATGTGTTCATACGAGGGCAGCTCCGTCAGGTCTCCCAGAGCTGCTACTGCGGGTTTACTACGCAGCATCTTAGTGGTCACTCTCTTAATGTCGCTGGCTGTCACGTTGCCTGGAAATTAATAAGACAAATGAAATAAGAATGAATGAGAATAATTCAGAGCCACTTTCCCAGTCAATAGACTTTTCTCAGGACTCACTTATTAGGTCACACAGTTCATGTGGCAGTTTTCTCTTTCCCGTGGAAAGAACCTGGCGTCCAACGTCCTCAAAAATAACCGGCCGTGACTCCAGGTTCATCATCAACATGGACTTGAGCTGAGTCTTGGCTCTTCCTAGCTCCATCTGGAGAGACAAAATGTAAAATTACTTTTTGATCAAGTGACCAAAGTTATATCACAAACTCTGTACTTGAGTTTCCCTGTGATGAAAGTTACCTCTCCTGCGTTTCCAGCCATTTGAATGAACTCTCTGGTTATTATTTCCACCATTTCCCGCACCTGACAAACAAATTAACATATGAGCCACATTTCCACTAATCCAACACATTCAATACCAGTATTAATGTGTGTGTGTGTGTGTGTGTGTGTACATTATATGCTAGGCTAGTAGCATTAAGGACTGGAAGACACTCTGCTGGTGTCTGGGGTCAGTACCAACCTGTCTGGGGTCTGAACTAGCATGGATACACAGCAGGCCGCTGTCCTCATAGCTGTGATGGTAGGAGGTGGCGTTGTACATCCAATGATGCCTTCAACAGATAAGTCAAATGAGTGACAACGAATAAAACCTGTTGTCTGGAGTTGTTTTTGTGAAGCAAAGGCTGAGACACAAATGCACAGAGATGTTCACCTGTTGAGCACGTTCAGGTAGAGGCGGGTGAACATGCCTTTACCGGGTCCTCCTGCAGAAAAGGAGCCTCCTCCTCCCATCATCATGTTGAGCACTGCGAACGGGATGAAGTCTTCCTCCTGTGAAGGGAAAAACAAGAAGCGTTTTTTGAGAACTTGTAGCTAACAGACACAACTGACTGAAGACAAGCAACACAAAACACCCACCAGGAAGGAGCAGCTCTCCAGGCCGATCATGATGTGGGTGAGTTCTGGGATCGGGGTGGGGCCGAGGCTCACGTCTGACATATCCTTCTCCATCTAACAGGTTAGAAAGAGATGTGATTCAACTGTATCACTAAATACAGTTAAATCTAATTCCATCCATCGTCTTTTCAGATTTAAAGCCTTAGAACCAGGATTTTTCTTATGGCTGTTGTTCTTCTGTTATTGTGAATCTGTAACAGATGGGGTTTTTTTGCCTTTTCCACTTTTTAAAAGATGCAAACTTTTCACCTGAAGAGACGTTTGGGCCCAAATCTGGTACAAACGTGTTAATAATAAAACCGATGAATCACCTTGACGATGCCCCCGGTGTACTGTGCTACGGACAGGTCTACGTTGGACACGCTGCTCGTTCCCCACACTGGCCTCACATCCAGCAGGTACTTCCTGGCACATTCAACCAGCTGCTCGTGCTCGATGCCGACTCCAGCCAACACCATCCGCTCGGGGCAGTAGTAGTTACTCAGGTAACTGTGAAGCATTTTCCTGTCGATCTTCTCCACGTTATCTGCAGGACAGAAGCGTGGCAGTCCGACCGTGTTGCCTCGATATGCGGCCTGGAAACAAACGGCAAAGAGTCAGGTCAAGTGACAAGTTTGGGGTTTTACTTTTTAACTATTTTTACTATTTTAACAGAGAGGTAGTGTCGTAGGGTCAGAACTAGTCATGTGTGACTCACAGCGTGGATCATCTCGGTGAGTAAAGGTTCAGGGTCCGGCCTCATGTTTAGGTCTTCTAACTCAAAGCGTACCACCATTCTGGTCATCTCAATCTCATCGTCTGCATGGAACCAACACATTTCACTTTCAACAAAACACTGGTTTAGACACATCGCACATTCTCGATGGCCAGTCTCTCTAGAAGAGCATTGGAGGGGTGATGCAGACCCTGCACAGCCTGTATAAACCCCAATCAGGCAACGCTGACTTTTTAAAACTGTAATTAGGGATGTCATGATACTGAAAATGTAGTAGTTGATACTGATACCATGAAAACTTTCACTTCTCAATACAAAATTTAATACAATATTTTTCTTTCTTTTTCTTGTCAACCTCGATGTTGACCTTTGACCTATCAGCTCCAATAGAATAACATTTGGAGATACTATCCCAAGTAATAATTCCACCAAGTTTGGTATAAATCCATCCATGTGTTGTTGAGTTATTTAGCTTGCACTTCTTCAATCACACACACACACACACGGGAGTTACTTGACTTACCCAGTAGGCGAGGCTGTAGTACAGCATCAGAGAGAAGACTAACCACTGTATCCAGACCCTTCACTTCAGCAGACACTGCATACATGGTTGTATCTCTGCACAGGAAAATGAAAGGAAGAGCTGCGTTACTAATAACGGAGGAAATAACAAGCTTCTACTAAATAAATATACAAATGTTAGATTTTACAACACTGATGTAAGATTTCATACCTTGATGTTTGGCAGTCACATATCCCTCCGTGCTTTTCCAGCGTCAGCAGGATTTCATCTTTGCTCCCATACTGAGCTGTAGACTTTAAGGATAAAACAAACCGTGGATGATGTAAGATGAACACCTTTTATTTTCTTTGCCAAAGGAAAAAAATATTTTGAGTGAGGCTGGGCCATGTGACTTCAAATCAATATCCCAATTATTATTTCAAACTTTTACCTCGATTATGATTATCAACGATTATTTTATGCCACCCCCAACCAATCTTTAACTTTAACTTTGACAATCAGCATAAAAATTTAATGGAATTAACATTTGATAAAAAACAAGCTGAATCGAAAAAGTGGAAATACTTACAGAAAAGGCTAGTTTCTCTAAGAAATGTGCTATTCCGCTTGGGTATTTTGCTTCATACCTGGATCCCGAGTTTACTAAAACTAAGAGAGAAAAATAATCCACAATTAATTCACTTCAGCCAGATCCTGAACAAACAATTAAAATTATCATATGAATCCTGCAACTTACTTCCAACTGTGCAAAATTGACCAAACTTGTTTTGTGAAGCAACTTTGAGGCCATTTTCTAGAGTAGTGATCTTGGTCTCGTATTTCTCCTGACCATCCACGGACGCAAACACCGGCTTGGGGATCCCAGGCAGCGGCGTGGAGAGGGAAATATTCGAGTATCTGCCGCCACTGCTGTACTCTCTGTAAGCCGCGATCCCAAACCTTCAAGTACAACAAAGAAATCATCTTCAAATCCTCTCTACAACCTCAGGATGTAGTGGAAACAGTACAAAGCTATAACGATTAATTGATAAATGTTAAAATAATTAACAGCTGCTCTATAGATAATCAATAAACTGAATTGAATGGGGTGGACAATTTGGAGAAAAACATAGCAAAAAAAAAAAGGTTCCTAAAAAAGTTAATTATCACAATGAATGTCACGTCGTGAATTTCTATGGAATTTAAAGACTGATGTTTGCTCTTGAGTAAAGGTTGTGTTTGTTTTAGAATGACTCACAATCCTCTGCACATCTGTTTTCCTGCCTGTTTTGGAAAAAAACGTGAAACAACTGATATACATACGGAGCAATAACTATAAACACACACTCCATACAGTTAAAGTCGTTACTTCATTTGCAACTAAAGTCACACTTCACCCCTGAAAGAGTTTTAGTTTTGTATTTGACTTTATTTATAGTAAGCTCTAATTGAACTATTGCACTGCTGAGCTGAGTGGTTTCTTCTTTTCCAACACTTTCCAGCCCTGAGTTTATTTTAAAGAAAAGAGGTACAAAAAATTCTAGATTCTGCTTCTCAAATATGAATACTTTATTTTTTGTCGACTTCTCTGATATTTTCCACATTACTTTCGACCAAAGGATGAGTTGATTAATTGAGAAGAATAAAAGTAGTGCGTTCCAACAGTGTCAGCCATAAAACAGTATTTAACTTCTGCCATAGTTCACACAGGAAATGACTCCTGATCTCACAGATATATTACCTGCTGGTAAATTTGAGTCAAACCAGTTTGTCCTGTCTAGCTTTTTTAAAATCAAATGAATGGAACATTTAAAAAGAAGAAACTGTACAGCAGCTACACACAGTTGTCAGTTTATCAACACACCAAGGTAATGCTCCCATCACGAAGGTTGTAAAGTTCAGTTGTTGTTTTGTGTCCACACAGGGTGCTGTTTTAATCTTCAGCTCACAATAACAGATATGAATGAGGTGAATTGATTTTAAAGCAGCTCGTATTCAAGTTAAATCAGTATCATCTCTCTCAGTAAGGTTTTAAAGAGACGAACCTTTTTAACCTTCACAGCTGTTGGTGACATTTAGAAGAGTGGAGGGAAACGACACCGGGCAACTGAAGATATTCGACTTCTTCACAAATGTGATTTCACATAAAGCAGCAATAACAGTGTTGAGTTCGATGACTTTGCTTTTAATTGGCTGTTTATAAAGTTGTTAAATCTTTTCACCGTCATCACCAGAGAGCAGCTGAACGACAGAGAACAACAATAAACGAACAACCAGATCTCGGAAACGTCCATCTGTCTTCTACACTGTCATTCAGCACAGCGACGGACGGTTTCCTCCCGTTGTCAGACTCCATCAACTCCTGATGCAACGTTAGCTCAGCCTGTTAGCATCGTGCTAACCGAGCGAGCTAAACTAAAGCGATCGGCCCGTGGAGTCGTGACACTGAACACACACACACCGTCGTTTTCACCGTGTTGAAAAGAGTCCGGTGACACTTCGCAGAGATGAGTTTAAACACGCTCTCACCTCTGGACACGACTCCAGGATCTGCACCTCGACATGTGAGTCGCCATCTTCGATCTCCTGTGACCGGAAGTCAACCCGGATGATAATGTTGACGTCTGCCCGAGCACTTCCGCTTTGAAAAAAAAAAAAAAAAAAAAAAATCTCGTCACTTTTTCTACAGGGGTGTGCATCACCTCGATTTGGTTTCTGAGGAGAGAGAGAAAAAAAAAAGATG